TGGTGCTGTGTACCAAGTCTTTTTGGAAAATGAAATCTGTATCTCTATAAAGCTGGTCAGCAGCAGGAAGCATGAAGTATAACAATAATAATAGAACTTTATTGATCTCACACTGGAGAAATTTACCTCCCTATTTAACCCATCCATGCCATCATGGGGAGCAAAAATGGGGTTAAGGGTTTTACTCAGAGACCCAGAGTGGCAGTCTGTGGGAGTGAAGCTTGAACTCAGAACCTATGGATTCCAAGCTCTATGCCCTAACCACTAGGCCACCACTCCCCTCTAAGTGAGGTGAAGTGGTCAATAACTTCCTGGTAGACGACTGGGTTGAGGTTCGACAATGGACCAAGACTAGCAGATAACATGCCGCCTCAAACCATCACTGACTGTGGAAACATTACACTGTGTCTCCTCGCTTCCTCCAGACTCTGGAACCCTATATTCTAAAGGAAATGCAAAATTCACTTTAATTAGAGAAAATAATGTTGGACCACCCAGCAGCCGTCCAGTCTATGTCTCCCACAGACTGCCACTCTGTTTTTCTGAGCAAGACCCTTAACCCCAATTCCTCCCCGGGTGCCCCACGATGGCAGCCCACTGCTCCCTGAGGCGATGGGCAAAACTCAGAGGTAAATTTCTCCAATGTGAGATCAATTAAGTTCAATTATTGAAATCTATTATCATTCATCAGTGCATGGTTACCCTTGAAGCACTGACTTCAGTGGCACTCCACTCTCTGTGAACCTTTGACCATTTTGAAAGGATCGGTTTCCCAATCATCTCTACTGTTGGGTTTTCCCCATGACTTTTACCACATCCTTTCCTTCCCTCTCTATTACTGTGCTTGGACAAAGAGCTGACCGTTTAGAGATGACCGTTTGTGTCTTGCCCTCTTTGTGCACGGTGTCAGTTGCCATCTTTAGGACAACTGTCAGCTCAGCAGTCAGCTCCATACACATCTTAAACTGAGGGACCAGTTAAAGGTGTTGGGAGTGAATTAAGGATAAAAATGGGGCACCAGATGTCTTCAATATTGAACTTTTTCTTAATATTCTAGTTTTCTGAGAAACTAAATTTGGGGTTTTCATCAGTTGTCAGTTAGAATCATCGGAATTAAATATGTATATCAGTTTGTGAGAAGATTGTAGATGCGTGAATTTTTCGGATCATCTGACTGTCGATTCCAGAAATCCATGTAATTGGCAGAAATAGCGGGCCCCGAAATGAAATATCACTTAGGGCCAGATGGACACCCTGGGGCGAAACCATATCAGAAAATTAATCAATTATCTAAACCACTTAATGGACAGTTAAGAGTCTATCCAAATAGTCAAATATATCAGCAATATGTTCAGAATACATGAATGAAACATACAGACCAATATGGAGCTATTTCAGAAACTTAGTCTAAGGAGTCCTTTGAGATGTTAACCCGTATTCTCTAATTTTGCAACAACGACTTAGATTTTTGCTCCAGTATCTCATCTGCATCTGCAACTGAGTCTTTAACAGCTCTGGCAGCATCAGTCCAAGTGGGACAGAGGACAGTTTCACTTGAATAACTGATCATTAACTTTTGCGACAACCTCTTTAAAAGCAGGAAAGCAGAAACTGCTCTTGACCATACAGAAGAGCAAAGACACAAGTCCAAGAGGAAATAAATGAGCACAGATTGTATACAATTAAAATCCATTCTTTGAAAATGAGAAGAGGAGCATTATTTAAAAATGGAAACAAAAAAAACATAACATATATCTGCCGATTCTCCCAGGAGTGGATAACTCATCAAATGCATCCAAAAACTAGACTTAGTCTTCAAGAAAATACAACTAGAACAAGGCTCCAGAAGCATGCGATATTTTGTCCAAAAGAGCTTTTCTCAACAAAAAATCTGTCTGATGAGCTTAGCTTTGTAAAGTTGCATCAAAGTAAAGCACAAGTCCACTGGAGCATGGTTAAATAGTCAAATAGCCATCTGACAAACGGAAAAAGTTCATCCATTACAGCAAACCCACAGCTGAGAAAAAAAAGACCAGATCTGAATCTGATTTGGTACGATGTAGACGATATTTACAGAGAAAAATGTCTGCAAATCTTAGAGGACCTAAAAAAATCTGTTAAGAAAAGGGGGGGCAGGGATCCATAAAGTAAATATTACCAACATAACTGATGATGTACATCTCCAGCCTTTGGACAAAGGACATTCTTTTGAGGACCAGAATGTTCACATTCTGGACAAAGAAGAAGACAGGTGGTTTGAGAGAAAGAAAGGCATCTATGTTAAGAGAGAATAACTCACCTTAAACATAGATTTCCGCTTTTAAAAATCTACAATACAGCAATTGAGTTAAATCCTTCATCCTATCATTCCTATAATTGCAGCCCGAGCTCCTGTACAGGAGAGAGGAGGACCTCGTCTATTCAGCCAGGTCAACAATCCCCTCTATCAACCCCCCTTACAGACGCTTGGATGGGTATGGGGCAATGCAGGATAACAAAAGAAGTAACCGCCCCCATTCCAAATGGTTGGACCCCTTCGTCTGTTTCAATTTGCATGTTTAAAAAAAAAAATGCAAGGCTTTGTTGGGCTACTGTATAAAACCTCTGACTCAATGCTATTCCTGACATTTTGAATTGAAAAAGCTTCCTGGATGGGAAGCGAAACATCTTCAAACTTGGAAACAAAGTCCAGTGGATTGTTTAACATTTTCTTTTTTTTTTGGACCGACCATGACCTGGATGACTGAGAACCTTCACCTGCAAACATAACTGATGCATTTTACTGCAGCAAACTTAACACTGGATTTAAACTTTTAATATAACACAAAACTAACCCAAATAAAAATTAAAACTTAACAGTCTTCGAGGACCTACCCTCTTAAACATTTAACAGTAAAATAAAAAATATCATATATATAAAATGGTAAAGGTTTCTTTTTGAACCTGACAGGTACCTTTTATGGTACCTTGTCATTGTTACTCAACAAAACAGTAATTGGCTTAGGGTTCAAAATTAAATTCTATCTTGTTCTACAAACTCAAACAATAACAAAGGTATTCTTTCAGAAGTTCTGCTTAGCTTTAACCTACAAACTGACATTTGCGTGACAACTCAGTCCCTTTTTGGATTTCGTGTAACTCTAAAGGATACTAGGAAAACAAAAGATTAACTATATAAGCTCCGATGAATCTGCTTTCTGAGGTTGACCTATTGTCTAGCTGATTAGGAAGGTTACAGAATTTCAGTTCAGCTGCTAAGTTTTGTCTTTCCTTTTTCTCTGATATTTGCCGGCCACTGGAAGCTGTAGACACTACTGTATTTGGACTACCTGTAAACATAGAAACTCCCACATTAATAATGCATCGCCTGCTTTCAGCTGCTTCTCTTACGACAGAGAAGCAGCAGCTAAATTAATTCCTTTGCCTTCTTTTGTCACACACAGTTCTAGTATGTAGCAGAAAATATGTTTTTATCCCCTTTTTTATTCATTTGTGCTCATTACCCATAACATTACTGAGGTAGAAAGCACCTTAATTATAACAATAAGATCTATTTGAAAATATGTCATTTGGATTGATGAAAATTTTACTTAATGAGTTTTATTAAAATAAAAGTACAGATCAATGCTGAAAGGATTAATCGGATGAATCGTGATTAATCAATTATTGAAATGATCTAGTTTGGTAATCAAATTGTTACTGGAAAATAAAGAGTATAACATTTTAATTTGCTAAAAGAATAACCACACTAGAAAAAAAAAATCTAAATCTAGATAAGTATTTTTTTCTTAAAAACGATGCATTTGTTCTTGAATTGAGAAGGTAAAATAAACTTTTTGCCAATGAAACAAGACGATTCACAAATAAAATAACAAAACACGATTGCATTGTCTTATTCCAAGTGCTTTTTATCTAGATATCTTACTTTAAGAGTAAAAATACTCATTCCAGTGGCAGATCATCTTATTTACCTACTCAAATTAATCGTAAATACACTTAATTTAAGGCATTTTTGCTCATTTCTAGATTGTTTTTGCAGTGTATTTTAGAGAAGTAATCATGGCCACAATTTATATAAAATCATTTAAGATGAAATCCGTCTTTTTCCAAGACAAATGGCATGATCCAGAACTGCTCAAGTGGCGTCGTTTTAACTTGCTTTGTCAAAGTGCTGTCAAAAGAAAAAACCTATTAAGTATCGTTTACTTTTTAATTGAACATCTACTCAAATAAGGCATATAGTAAAATTATTCTTGGAAGGAATTTTAATCTGCGTAAAATATGTCTTTATATGTTACCAGATAAATCAAAAAGATTATTGATGGCTTCACCCAAAAATAAAATAGTTGATGGTTGCAGCCCTCGTGCAAATAATGATTGATACAGATTAAAGTCCATTCACACCAGAACATATCACAAACAATCAAGTAAGCCCAAGAATTTGGAATCCTCCTCCCTAAAGACACAGGAACTGTTAGCTTTTCTGTTGACATATAGAAACAGCAGTAGAGGAACTCGGAAATACAAGACTCATTACTTTCAGTTCTCACAGAGATTTTAAATGTGCTAAAATCAAAGGTTTAGTTTTATTTATTGCTTCTTCACATAAATTTGTAGCTACTGACTCTAGAAGAGCTGGTGATCCTTCCAAATGGGTGGAATGATAAAAATTTACCATTCTAACATATCTAAACTGAAAATAATGAGCCATACAAAAAAATTCACACATACATTCAGACACACCAAACACACATACATTGATATCGTAGCCTAGGGGAAACTGGAGTCATAAACAGCATCAATAATCGTGACACAAGACAGCAACAATAATTACATGATGAACTATTTTAACAACTTCTGTTTTTAAAATACTATTTCAGCATTCTATTACAGCATTCCAGCCTGTGTTTAAAAAAACAATTAAAAACGTCAAATAACATATTCTAACATGAATTAACATACAAATACGATGAGAGGAGAGATGTTGAGCAGGCTCCTACCTTTTTCACTGACTGACTCACTCTCAATCTCCACATCCTCACAGCTCGTGTACTCCGGCGTTGTGGCCAGCTCCTCCTCTGAGCTGCTCAGTGATACCTGCCTCATCTTTCCCCCCCTTTTGGTTTTATGGGGCTTCGGGGGTGGGGGCCTCACTGACTCTGACTGGTCTGAGCTAAGAGAGTCGTTCCTTAGCATACTTTCCATCTTCTCCCTCTTGGTCTTGCGGACAGCTGAATTGGGGTCCAAATGGTGTTGCTGCCTCATCATAGGATCCCCTAGGTCTCCTCTTCGCAGCCCCCCTGATCGATCACCAAGCACAGGACTCCGATGTGGCGTTGGGGGGCTGCGGTTGGAGTTTCTGTGACTTCCAAAGCCAGGACCAATGGGTCCTGGGGAAGACCGATCAACAGAGTACGAGCGCTGTCCTACCATAGGCGGCCTGCGCTCGGTGAGATGCTGACGAGACAATCTAATAGGGCCAGGGTCATCCTGTTCTGTGTAGGCTAAGGAGACATCACTATGGCGACGTTCATGCCTCAGCCGCCCCACTTCAGCGTGCATTCTCATTTGCTCTTCGTAAGGTTGAGGCTTTACAGGATAGCGTGCCAGGTTTGGATCACTGCGATACCGCGCTTGAAACTCCTCCTGACGCTGACGCTGGAGGTCAAAGTCACTCGGCGGTCCATCTAGCTCTTGGTCAAGTGGATATTCCTGGGAATGCCAACGGCCAGGACCCCGACGGTCCCTGTAGCCCATTCGCATCGCATTGACATCTGGGAATATGTGTGGGCCCTGCGGAACCCGCCGTGGGTCCCCATCGCCATAGTCTGACGGTGATCTGGGCATACTGCCGTCTGTGGGTGCATACTGTGGGTGGTCGCCCCCCTCCCTTTGGTCGTATTTTTGGTTTGGATCCCTGGATGCAGATGGGCTTCTTTTCCTGTTGGAAAAAGGAAGATAAACACTTAGGTTGGCAGGTGGGTTAACTTTAAATGTTATCATTTATATGTCCAATTTTTCTATATTATAATTCCCTTGTCTTTCAAGGGAGACAGCAATTCATATCATACAAAATGATTAAGAAAAAACATTCTGAATCACTAGAGGGCTTATTTTCTGCAAATCTAGGCTTGTTGCTGCCATGCCTGTTTCTGCTGCCCTGTGTCTCTTTACTCTGATTAGTGTTTGGAAATTTCTCAGCTTGGTTCTCCTCCGTTGTAGCCCTGGGCTCTTGGGCGGGTCTGGGGCACCTCAAACCTGCTATTGAGCATTTCTAACAGCTGAAGTAGCCGTATTTACCTTATGTACCCAAGCAAACGCATGTGTATAAACCACAGGTATTTGGATCCAGTAGTTTAAAAATATACAGCTATGCTTAATTCCGAGCTGCAACTATACCTACATGTAGCTCTGAAAGACATTTTGTAATGTTCATATGTGGTAGGCCTACTTCTGATGTTTGTGTACATGTATTTACTGCGTGTTTATTGGACACACCCTCCTTTGTTAGGGTTGTTGTGATGTATTTTTTTCTTCCTTCTTGCTTCTTGCAGGTGAGTAAACAGATTTCTAGGACCTATTCTTTATCGCTATGCTGTATTTTTCTCCTTTATTTTCGCTTTCTCTCTCTTTTCTTCTTATGAGTCCTCACATATACATTTGTTATATTTTCTGTGGTAGCGTTTAGTTTAAAACATGAATTAAATCATTAAACATGTGTTTTGTCTGGTATTATTTAGAGTTTTCAAACTGATTATGGTAAATCTATTATTAGGCATTTTTTGTAAGGGAAAAAATCTGCAATTGAAATTCCTGATACAAATTTTGTATAAACTGAATTTAGGAATAAACAAACTGACTTCTGGGTTGGATTTAAAGTAAACATTCTGCCAAGAGTGCACACTAATACAAAAAAATACTAATACAAGTAATTTCATTTCAAATACATGCAAGTAATCTTCTCTTCTTGTGCATTTTGGCCCACACTATGTCACAAACAGAAGTTAATGCTCTTTTTCTGCGCTCTCTTGCTTTTTATGCGCCTGTAGATTCTCTCCTACTCCAATTTAGACCCCTTTTCTGTGCGCTAATGTCACCTTTTATCACTTTGACGCTGGACCATTTTGAGAAAGTAAACTTTGAGAAAAGTTTCACCTTTATATAGAGTAAAGTAAGGATTGAATGAACTCCCTTTTATAGTCACAGAGATTTACAATCAGTTTGCAGCTACTGTGTTTTGTGTTTCCATCTTGTTTATAAAATTGTCATTTGATGACAAGGATGGCTTGGTTATGGTGTTAGACTAACTCTTGAAGGGAACAGCAATCAGTCTGAAAATGCTTTGCAAACATTTCTAGCTGTAACCGTGACCGTTTCTCAATATGTGTACTTGTGCGTTCTCGTGTACTTGTGAAACGTCCTCAGCAGACAGAGAACAGACAAAGTCCCTGGATGTTGTTCTCGCCCCTCCCTCTTTACCCAGCATGCATCACAGCAGACTTGTCTGTTATTGAGATTGACAGCTCTCCCAGCATGCACTGCAGCAGCAGCAGCTTTCAATAGAGCGCTCACAGAGATCAGAGTATTAAGTTAAAAGCTCTTTTTTCTGTTGCTTTTGTTCAATAAAGTACAACATTATAATTTTAAGTGTCACTATATGGCCCATTTACCGATCTTAAGCATAATTTAAAAAAAAAAAATTCCGAAATTGAGATCACCACAGCAATCAGTGGACCTCCAAGGGTAAAGGCAACCAGGTCTAATCCCAGCCCAGCAGCCCTCTCTCTGCATAGCCGTGTGTGAAGGACCGCTGGCTCTCATGGCGATTTTTTTGTTTTGTTTGACAAAATGTTCATTTGATGTGTGTTTATCTGACTGTGTTTATTGTTATTCCGCCACTAAATTAAAAAAAGTACGAATGTATTAATTATCACCAAGAGTCTATTAATAACAGGATGTGAAATGCAGCTCCAGACGAGCTGACCAAGAGTACGCTTCTGCTCTAATTGACCCATATTTATGCTGCATGCTCCCGTTCTAATCAAGTCCATACTTTACTGTGTTCTTCTCAAAAACGGACAAGAGTCCGTACTCGCTTTGTGAATTGAGAAACAGCCTATGAACAACAAAAAGCAGTACTATCTCAAGAGGTGAAAGTAAGTTGCCCATCACAGGCAGTGTACTTTCTCAACCTTTTTGTGACCAAAATTGATGCCAGCGCACAGAAACATATCCACACTAAAGTATTAAAAAAACATATCCCAAAATTTATCCCAAAGAGAAATTAAATAGTGTTGCAACTCATATAATGTAGATATGAGTTTCAATAGGTGTTAAGGCTGTATGAGATTTAGTCTGTAGCCTTTACATTTATCCATAGAACAGCAAAGTCCATGGATCAAAACCAATTATAAATCCGAGAACTAATAATAGAAAGTTATTGATTTATGACCCTCTATTCTTTACAGGTGAAATATTTAAATACCTTCATGCTTTTCCTAATCAAACTAACATTTCCTTGTTTTTTCCTTAACTAAATCAGTTGAATATCTAGAACTCCCATGCACATTATTATGTTCTTTAAAGGTCAGTATGTTTTATAATTAATAGGTATTGTATTGTATAGATCACATTTTTGTGATAACACCTTTTATTATATGTTTCATTTCATGTTAAAAAATATCCAACTATGTTCTAAACTCTACCTGATTGGAAAAATGGAGACGTTTTAATTTTGTTTTTTTGGTTGTTAAATCTCATGAAGCTTTCTGATGACTCATATGAAGACAGCAAACAATAATTTATAGTTTTTTTAATACTTAAAATATTGTGGCATAAAAGATTTTGTTACCTCTATATTCTAATTCATTTTAAATAGTTTTATAAATATAAATAAAAAAAACCTGTATTCGTGAATAGAAATCATGAACAATACTAATAAAATAACAATAGTGGCAACTTTTATGTATTCATTCTCTAATGAATCTGCCTGTTAAAAAAAGAGCTCAACATAAAGGAAGATGGAGTACCCAGAGGAGGCTAATTGTCCAATAAGGCATTTATTTCTTTATTCAGAGTTAATTATTCATGAGCCACTTTTCTCCTACACTTCTCCCGCTTTTTGCTGCAAAGTAATAATGACATTTCTGTAAGGAAAAATCTCCGTGAAGCATCCCCTTCATTTTGTACCTTGACAACTTCCCATAAATTTTAAAGGGCTTCATAAATCACCCCTGCCAGCTTAGCTCTGTGGTCACGGTAAGAAAATCCCCCTGTGTGATTGGCTGATTCACTGAAGAGGAATGAGGAGGCATGACCCTCACCTATTGCATCACAGACCATTGAGGGTGAGTTTGACCGTAATGGATTGGCAATACAACAATACAAACAATCTGGAAGGATACATCTAGGCCAATATCAGGTTCTCTCAGGTGAATTTCTACATTGAATACTAAACAGTTTCCCTCCAGGTAGAAACATTATGATGAATGAGTGCTATATACAAGGTTATGAACTACTGTACATTTAAATCATGGGCTGTTAGAAAGGGGAGAAAGATTAACACCTGAAAGGGACAAAATGTGTTTCCCAAAAAGGTACAATGGTGAAGCACATTATTCAAAGGGACAGAAGAAATAACAACAGAGAGTTTGATTACATATGAAAATAAAAAAATGTTCTCGTTATTCACCCTTCTGTTTTATCATTGTGGTATCTCAACCACTTTGCTTGTTCTTTAGCTTCTTGAGCACCAAGATCTACACAGAGGACAGTAGAGTAAAAACATTGTGCTTAAGTAAAAGTAGCAGCACTTTGTCATATTTTTACTAGTAAAGAAAAAGTAAAAAAAAGTATTTGGTTAAAAAGGATACTGAATAAATGGGTGATTAACAAACCTCCCCAGCCCTTGGAGGCTATTAAGGATGAAATGCAAACATTTCTTCATCCATCTAAAAGGGTTGAAGACCCCTGCATTAAAAGACATAGATATTTGAAATACAGCCAAATGGATCCTAAATGTAAAAAATAAATATAGGTAAAAATCCATTTCATTGTCTGATCTTATATAACCATAGGAGGTTTAAGGCAGGGGCCAGCAGGGGCCAACAGGGGCCAGCACCCCTGGAGAACTGATCCTGGCCCGTGTACTTAAAACATACACTACAAAAATTGACATATAAGTCATATGCCTCAATTTGAGCTAGTAGGTAAGACAATTTACTAATGTAATAAGATGATTTGAATTGAAATAAAAAAAAATATTTTCTTATTTCAAGTAGTTTATATGTCATCTTATTTTGAGGAAAAAATACAATTTTCTTTGGCAATCATATTATTTACCCCCTAATTTTAAGATGTTTTACATTTCAGATCACTTTTCGTTGTGTCATACAAAATAAGTCATATTATTATGTTCATTGACAGAATGGGCTGGACTCAAATCTTACATCTTGTTTTGAGATTTATATACTTTTTGTTATGAGACTATCATGACTTCATGAAGTCTTGTAAAGTGCAATTGCCTCACTGCATTGGCAGATTATTGCACTTAATTTAAATAGAATCCTCTCAAAAGCAACCTTCTCTTGCATATTGTATCAATCTCCATAAGAGATCAAGCGAGTCCAATCTGAACATGATGACTCGATGAGATGACTGGAGTCTGGTGTGCTATTGCTTGGTTGGAAAGAAAAACCTGCAGCCACACGGCCCTTTCTGGAACCAGTTTGGCTACTTTCACCCTGCAGCCTGAAGTGACCCAAATCCCATTTTTTGGCCCATATGTGACCTGTATCTGATCTTTTCATGGGTGTCTGAACAACACAGATCCGTTTTTTTCCAATGTGACCCAGGCCACTTGGCTATGTGGTTCTGAATCAAATAAAAATCTGATCTTTTCAAATGCGACCTGCGTCTGAATGGCCAGGTCGCATTCATCCG